CCCCTACAATGAAATATAACTTATCACATTCAATGGAACAAAATATTACAGCCCAATTCCCAAACACCACAAAACCACCCACAACTAATAAGCATAACAAATGAACACACACAAACATTCCAAATAACCGTACCCAACAAAACACACACACACAACAACCCTACACCAAACAAACTATACAATCCAAGAGGCAGGTTAAAAGGCATGCTGGATCTACGCGCCAAACAGCTGACAAGCGCGACTTTTAAAATGGTCTTGAGACTGACTGCTCTATGCCTTTAAGAGCTTCTTGGGCACAATGTGTGCACATGCCTCACTTCAACTGTTTTTTTTTTAACTGTTATGTAAATTTATGCACATGCTCCCTCTTCTCATTTAGCCCTTTGCTCTGATGATGTTAACAGGTTGTTAACGAAAGCTCAGCAGTTAATAAAAAAAGCCTTTTATCTTACATCCCAGAGCTCTTTATTTTTATCTGATTGACTTTAAATGTCCATACCTGGGATTCCTGTATTCAAAATTATTAAAGACCCATATGGACCGGCAGTATTACAACAAGCCAGATATTGGGAGAGTTTATCCAAACGCATGACTACCAGCTATGAACAACTAGCTTTTTTACATAACTGCATCCACAACAACCTCCCACCAAAATCTTTACGTAAGAAGCCTCCAATTAAATCACCAGAAGGTTATGCAGCAGTTTGGCAGTTCCAACGCCGCATCATGCGTGCCATGATTAATCACCATCACAGACGCATTGATGCCCAAACTACCAGAATCCAGCACCATCGTGAACAATGCCGATCCATCCTCACCCAAGAACATTTCAACATCCTCAACCTCTTAATATACCACACTACCCAAAAAACACGACAGCGCAAAACAGAGATACTTCAAAGAAAAACTGAAAGCTTAATCACCTCAAACAAGAAAGAAGTCCTTGAAAAATTGGTACACAACCTTTCATCTAGGACCTTGACCAGTCAACAAACCTCACTGTTACAACGTGATGCTGGTACCAACCTTAAGGATGCCAAACACCTTGATTTCGCAGCTTCATTTGAACCAATCATTCACCGCATCGAAATAGACGAATAGACTCCCATTGCAGCACAGCCAAAGCTAAAAGGGAAGAAAGAAACCATCTCTTCCAAATATGCAGATGCAATGGTTACCCTACCAGGTTCATCAGATGCTGTAGTATACCACCAAACCCTGGATGAGCTCGGATATGGAGGAACTCCTGTCACAGATAACCCGTGTCACCCTCCCTTACATCAGCAATGTTTCAGAAGCAACAGCCAGGTTGTTAGCCCCCCATAAAGTGAGGGTGGCTCACAGACCTGATCAAACTTTAAGATCCAAAGTGATGCGCCCAAAGGACCCACTCCCCAACACTGAAAAATCGGCAATCATGTATAAAATCAACTGTAAAGATTGCCCCGCTAATTATGTTGGAGAGACTTCAAAAAGAATGAAGACTAGGGTCCATGAGCATAAATTAGCAGTAAAAAGGGGGGAACAGCACTCCCAAGTATGGGCGCACATGGCGGATTCTGGACATTCCTTTGACTTTGATAATGTATGCATCCTGTCCGGTGACAACACGAAAGAGGGCCGGTTATTAAAGAGGCATGGCTCTCTGACAGGGACTCTGTCAACCGGCACATCTATTTGTGCCCGCCACATCTTACTTTAAGAGCATGGAACAGTTTTTTGGAAGGTTGGGATTTAATATATGGTTGGCATGCATATTTAATTTTTAATAAGAAAGTTGATCGGACTTTTAAATCACATATTTTGAGGAATGCCTTACTTCGTGTTTGGAAGAAGTATTATTATAGATTAAATTATAAAATACCTATCTGGGGGATTCCCAGACATGCAATTGAGGGAACCTCTAAGGGGACAAATTTTGATAAAATTTCATATAAAGAATTGTTAATTTGTTCTGGTTCGAATTGGCATTTGAAATCCCTAGATGTATTAAGGCAGCAAAATATTCTACAGTCATGGTTTCAATATTTACAAATAATGGATAGATGGACTGTAGACAAGAAAGAGGGAATAACACTAGAAGATAGACAATTGGTTATTCAGATTAAAAACCAAGGTCCGGCTCATATAAAAAGAATATATAATGTTTTATTAGAGTTAGATTCGGAAACAGAATTGGTTAAAGATTGTATGATTAAATGGGCTCAGAATATACAGGAGCCGATCTCATTGGATTTATGGGAGATAATTTGGATAAGAAATGTTAAATTTACACAAGCTCAAAATTTGAGAGAAAATTTTTATAAAATGTTTTATAGATGGCATTTAGATCCTAAAAAATTATCTTGTATGTATTCCAACATACAGCCCAAATGTTGGAGATGTGGCAATAATGATGCGACATACTTTCATATTTGGTGGAATTGTAAAAAAGTAAAGGCTTTTTGGATTATGATTTGGTGGAACATTCAAAAGATTTTTAGAAAGAAGATAAAGTTTACTCCTCAACTATTTTTACTTGGTATTTTTGTTGACTTAAATGAAAAAGAAACTACTTTGATGTTGAATTTATTAACTGCAGCAAGGTTACTAGTAGGTCTATATTGGAAGAAAGATTCTTTGCCTACTTTAGAAGAATGGATATTTAAAGTATCTAGTTTTGCAGAAATGGCAAAAATTTCTGCTTATTTAAAGGATCATACACAAGAAAGATATATTACTGTATGGGGAAGGTGGATAGATTATATTCAGAAAAAATATGGAATTAAAAAGTTTTATTTATTTTATGAATGAATATCAAATATTATAGAGAATTGTTTTATAAGTTATGGAGTTAAAGGTTAATTATGATATTTTTTTTCTTTCTCTTTTTTTTTCTTTTTTTTAATTATTATAATTTTCTTTTTCTTTTTTTTTCTTAATCCTGTATTCTGCTCTGGGAAGTGAAGGGAGGGGGGTGGGGGTGGGAGGGAGGGTAAGGGGGGGGTTCTCTATTTTAAAATTTTATTGTATTTTTATAAATGATTGTATGTTTTAAAAAAATAAAAATTTTCAATTAAAAAAAAAAAGAGCATGGAACAGGTGAGACCGCCCACCCCTAAGGAGACACCCTGCGACAGTACCACGTAACCCTAGGCAAGAAGTTATGGAGGGGATGAATTTCCCCCACACACACAACAACAGCAATGGCCCATGGACATTCAGGAGAATAATCAACGATTGAGGGACTTCTTCCCCCTTGCTCCAGGACCATGCACACGCTCCCAGACAGTGAGAGAACGGTTGCATGATGAGAAAGAGGCAATTAGCCAACGAACAATCATTTCCGACCCCCCGAAACCAAAACAGTGATGATCCAGCAGCATCAAGAAAGAAGGAGGATGGGACCGGCTTACCCTGTGACAACAGTCCATCAACGGAAACAATAGAGCGCCAATCGGAACGCCCGAGAGGATATAGAGATCGAGAGCAGGGTGAATGGGGGGGAAATGCAAATAAGGGTAGAACGTGATAGAAACTGTAAAAAAAAGATCACTGTGTTGATGGAGGGAGGGATACAAAGGAACCAGGCATACGTATTCAAAAAAGGAGGGCACACAAGGGCTTGTATGAGGAGGAAGGAGATATTCAAGGGATTCAGTCTGATGTGGAGTCCGAGAACATTGATAATGGGGTGAAAGAGCAAGTAGATGTCAGACGGAATGGCAACGACAGAAACGGAGTTTATGCAGCCAAAGAGAGGGAAATGGAAAGCAAGGGATGGGGAGAAAGGCTGAGAGTGCGGCCCCATAGAATGAGGGATGACAATTGGGGAGCAAATAAAGACCAGAAGAAGGAGGAAGGTAGGAGACACGGAGGTGTGAAGAGGGAACAACTTAGAGATACGAATGACCAAAAAAGGAGAGGAAAGAACCTCCCTAATTCAAGACAGTGGGAGGTAGAGGGGAATAATGACACACCCACAAGCAGTAAAAGCAAGAAAAGAGGAGTCATCAGTATGGAAGCCATAATTAAAAAGCAGTTAAATCAATTAGGACCCGCGACAAGATCTAGAAGCCATGTGCAAATGACGGCTCACCTATAAAGGCACTCTCCCACAGACCAGCATTAACCCTGACGATGTCAGAAGTATCTGACGAAAGCTTGGTGATCGGTGATGGTATTAAACTTTTATAGTTTATTATATTCCTGGTGTTCACGTTTTCTTGGTAATTGACTATATATATGTATGTATGTATGTATGTATATATCTCTTTTATCACAGGACTACTCATTCAATCTTTCCACTTTTCTTCAGTTTGTAAAATATTGGAATGGAAAAAAGTTCTGAAGCACCAGAGATTGTACAGTTTTCCACTTATATAAATGATCACACTGGCTTCTCTGGCAATATAAAAACATTTCCAAGTGACTTTGTAGTGACAGAAATTAATATACTTGGACAACTGGTTAATGAAATTGTGGCAGATTCTTTTCCAAAACCCAGTGGAATCTTATCAGAAGAAAGAACCAGTGGACCACAAGATTCCAAAAAGTTGTGGATAGATAAGGAATGCTCAACTAAAGAATCCTGCAGAATTCAAGTTGATAATGTTTATTGTTCTACTGATCAGCTTTCACTCTGTGTTCAAGAAAGTGAAATCTGTAAAGATAATCACATATTTGAATGCCATTGTGACAAAGCTGTTATATTACACATCTTATTAGATGAGCGGGTTAGAGAACAACTGCATCAATTTGCTTGTCATTTTAAAAACACATGGAATTCTGCATATGAGTCAAGAGATGTTCTCCCTGAATTCACCCTTGGTTCAGTTCTTGACAAAAAGGTCCGAGCTAGCCTGCATGGGGCCATCAGGCAAGAATATCCTTTCATAATCACAGCTACAAAATGTGATGAGATTATCATCAAAGCGAACCAAGACTACCAAGAACTTTGCCAGTTGGTATCTGAAGAAGAAGCATCTGGATTTCTAAAATTTTTGGATGCTAAATTAGAAAATTCCAAGTTTGCTTTTAGACCTGAGGGGAATAAAGAGCATCGTAAGATACTCTGCCATTTTCTGAATAAAAAAATTGGGAAGCTTATAGAAAGCAAATTGTTCCCTGACTCTCAGCAAAAGCTTGTGATTGTAATAAGGTTTCATGAGAAAAGTAGATTCGGGAAAAGGACTAATTCTAACATTGGAGAGAAGCACTACATTTATACAGGTACATAGGTAACTAATTCATTATTTTCTTGGAAAACAATTTTGTGCTCTTATAGTAAAACAGTCTATTGCCAAACAGAGTGCTGCTTACTTTGAAGAAAGATCTCCATAAACTAAATTGCTCCCTGTTAACTAATTATATAGAATATTAATCCAGTGTCTGCAATAACATAAGTTACATGTTGTCCTTGTTTAGCAACTGCCTTGAATAGCAGTTAATAAGGATAATGTAAATGCAATTTTGTGACCATTTAAGACATGGGTGTCAAACTCGATTGTGTCACGTGATGTATTGTGACTTTTTTGCCTTTGTGGAGCTGGGTGGGTGTGGCCTGCCCGTGACGCATCTGGCCCACAGGTCGCCAGTTTGACACTCCTGATTTAAGATTTCAGTTGAAATTGAGTAAGGTATTGTCAGTTTCAAGCATCAGCTGGGAGCTAGCAGGGGAATTATAATCAGCTAATCAAAGTCATAGAGTTGAGCTTGTTAGCTTGCCATTAGCACTTTTGAGGGAAGTGCTGCATTGTCAGAAAAGCAGATCAGGAAAAAATAACTTGTTCAAGCAATCTCTCCCCCTGCAAGGGGGGAAAATGGATTAGACACAGGACAGCGTATGAGAGAACTTTATCTGAATGCAACACCAGCAGCCATTAATCTTCACAGGATCACTCTCAGTTACAGGATTTGCTTAGTGACCATTTTACCAGAACCAATTGCAGTCATTAAAAAAAGACTATGTGTAAGGAAAACAACATGTTTTTATTAATACTGTTATTAGTTTATATTACTAAACCAAACCCTCTCAGCTTTATCAAGATGTAAAAAGTATTTGACTGATTTCAAAGCTGAGTATTCAGGTAGAGGCATGTCCCTACTGTAATGTGGATTTAAATGTAAAGATCACAGTTACTGTTTCTGGATATTGAAGGCCCATTTTTATCTATACTCCACTGCATCTGGAATAGGCAAGCTTTCCTAACATGAAGTTTTCTAACATTGTCATAGAGGTAGTGTGTACATTTTGAAATAGTAAAGTGTTTCCGATCCCTTGCAAATGCAATGCTTCTCTGCTAATCATCAAAAGAATGCAGTTTCTGGACATATATTTTATGTCTATCAAATGTCTGTTTAATAAATAATGTCATTTTTTAGGCTTCTGCATTAGCCTGAAAAAAAGATGATGATGCTAAAATGAATAAAAAGATGCTGCATTCAGATTTTTAGAGTTCAAAATACTTGTCAAAAAATGGATAAAAACTAATACAGCAAGCATCACATCAGTGATTCTATTAACATGGAAGATTTTGAATATATCTAATACCAAAATAATAGTGATTGTATGAATGGTTTAGATTTAAGTTGGTAGTTTAGTAACTCTTATGTGAATCAAAATCTAATGGAAGATACAGAAGCTTTAATCCGTAGCTCTACCTCCTGCACTTTCAACCAAATTTCATTGATGGAAGGATTCTTAGTTCTGAGCTCTGCACTTTAACTTTTTAAACCATGATAGCACACTAATGTCACACACTATTGCATACACTCAAACATAGTACTTTGTTCTTTATACAATTAGAAGGCTCAAGGTTCTGGTCCAAGTGTGAAGAAAACAAAGGTTCTCCTTTGTTCCTCATAAATGAATTGATACAGATTTGAGATTTGGGGGCAGCAGTGAGTGAAATATATATCTGTAACTTACATTTTTAAAAATAATTCATGCAATTACTAAATGTCTAGCATAGCCTAAAAAAAACCCCAGTGATGTTTTATGTTATTTCATTTGGAAAATTGAACTAGAGCTAATTATAGTGTTATTTTTTATTACAGTGATGAAATTATAAAGACATGATTATAAAGAAACAGCTGCAATAAATTTGTTGGGATTTGTTAAAAACAAATTGAGCCAGAGTGTTCTTACATGGAGTAAAATAAAAGTTAGTATAATATAAGAAAGTTTAATCTTAAAAGAGTCCAGAACTTTCAGTTCAATATGTAAATTAATGTTATATTAGCATATTTCTCTTGAGAGTCCGTGTGAGATGAAATATGTATGAATTGAACTTACAATGATGTTGCAACTTTTACTCTTAGGAAAGAGAACCTGGAAACCCTTGAAGCAATTAATTATTTGTCTGCAAAGCTTGGTATATTTCCTTCAGATTTCAGTTATACTGGCATTAAAGACAAAAGAGCAATTACTTATCAAGCTGTTGTGAAAAAAGTGACCCCTCAAAGGTATGAAGATTTACACTATACTTCAATTCACAGGCACCAATGTATGTATTACGATGTCACCACATATAGGTCATTTTGACATTGCAGTGTAATAAATGACATTTAACTATCATTTTATTCGTACAAGAACATCAAGATTCATTTTAACAATTGGGTTCTGTTCAAGTTCGAATAGATGTGAAAAGACATACAGGTAATCCCTGAGTTACGAGCATTCATGTAGCGCTCGTTCAAAGTTACGTGATGAGCACCCCCTAGTGCTTACAAGCAAATCCCAAAGTTATGAATATTGCAGCACCATGGCAGTCGTTCACTCTTACGAGCGACCACAGTGGCTCTGCAACATACACCCTGGTTATTCCGTCCCTCCCCATCCCCGTGTCTCTCTAGGCACCAGATCTTCAATAATCACCCTGCGAAGATTAAGATCCTTCACTTTCTTGGTTGCTCCAGGCCTTCAGTGCATTCACAGAGAATGGAGGCCTAAAGTAACGCAAGATCACGCGAGATCAGTGGGGTAAGATCTCACATGATCTCGCATGATTTCATGGTACTTTAGGCCTCTGTTCTCTGCAACAGAGAACAGAACCAAAGCTGGGGGATGCTTCCACGTGCCTCTGGAGGCCTTTTCCAGGCCGCTGTGGCCTGGATGTAAGGCTGGGGAACGCTTCCGCATACCCTGCACAGCCTGATCTGGGCTTCAGAGGCCTTTTCCAGGTCACTGCCACCCAGATTTGAGGCTGGAGAATGCTTCCATAACCCCCCCCCCCGGCCCAATCCGGGCTCCGGAAGCCTTTTCCAGACCCGAACGGGCCATGGGAGGACTGCAGAAGCGTTTCCTGGCCTCAAATCTGGGCGGCAGCAGGACCCACAGCAGAGAGGAGATGGATCTTTTCCAGGTGAGTCCGGCATGGCAGGAAGGGAGGGGGAAGCATGCGGTATTTTTGTGAGTCAGGGAGGCCTTGGGGACCTGTTTCAACACTAGACCCTCCATGGCCTTCCCCACCCTGAGATACCTCATGTTTGTTTAACCAGCCGTGTGCTTTTTAACAAGCAAAGGAATGATCTCATACTTCGAACGAAATTCACTCTACGAGTTTTCGAGTTACGAGTGGAATGGGCAGGCTCCATTACACTCGTAACTCGAAGACTTCCTGTACCACTTTATTTGGAGTTTTTAACATTATAAAACAAAATGAAAAGCTAAAAGATAGTGGATTTGATATTAGAAGAATTATTAACAAAACCCCTCTTCCTATTATTCTTGTATACAATGTTGATGTTATAAGAATATTTTTAAAATATCATCATTCTATTCATAAATGGTTTTAAGTTTTTTATATATCTAATATATTTCCCCAAATATGAGAAGCAGATATAATGCATGTTATTAGGGTTTGTTTTTTTGTAAGATCTGGTTGTAAATTGTAACCAAGATTTCTTTCATTTCTTGTATTTATTTTGTTGTATAAATACTTTTTACTTATTTATGAGATACTTTTCAATCTTGCATTCATCACGATGAACAAGTATGAAAGAAAAACATGCATCAATGAAATTGCAGGAAATGTATAATAGAAAAATACAAAACATGTACAAACCAAAGCTAACAGCCACATAGAGAATTGAATAATTTACCAGATATATTGAACCTTTCATTTCCATTTGATGTTCCCAACATTCAGAAATCAGTGAGAGTCATATTTATCCATTGTTCAGCAGTACCTTTATGAGCAAATTAACTGTCCTAGATTTTAAGTTACTTAGATCTTTTCATCAGGCAAAATATAAAACACAACTATGTGAAAGAAATAGGGAAGTTTAAAAATTGGCTAGCTGTTTCAGCTATAAACTTACAATTTAAAATAATCAAGTTGAGATTGGTATTATTAATGTCACAGCTTTTCCAGGTAGTCCTTGACTTATGAGCATTCATTTAGTGACCATTCAGAATTACAACAATGCTGAAAAAAGTGATTTACAACCAGTCCTTATGCTTACTACAGTCATAGCATCCCTATAGTTATATCAAAATTGGGGGCATTGGCAATTGGCATATATTTATGATGGTTGCATGTCCCTAGGTCACATGATCCCCATTTGTGACTTTCCAAACCGGCTTCCACAAACAAAGTCAATGGGAGAAGCCAGATTCATTTAACAAATGTGATGATTTGCTTAATGACCCCCCAAAAAAACCCATGTAAAAATTGGGTACAACTCACATAACAACTGCCTCACTTAGCGATGGAAGTTCCAGTCCCAATTGTGGTCATAAGTCAAGAACAAAAGTAAGGTTCATTCTCAACCTGAGTTGTGCCATGGGTTAATTTTAGTTTCTATTTTCTTTTTTTAAGAAAAAGCTAATTGGGTGCCATCGTCACATTGTAATTTTTTTAACCTGTTTTAAAATGTCCATTAATAGATTCATTGGACAATCCCTGCTTATAATGTTCTCCACTTTGTGAATATTTCTAAGCTTTTCAGTTCTGTTGAATATCATATATGTGATATTGTTTTGAAATCTGAGTACCAGAGCTTTACTCAATTTTCAAATAGAATGGCAACAATTTTTCAGCGCTTTCATCATTATTTTTCATCTTTTCTAATGATCTCTAGGATGAAATCCATGTGTTGCATGATGGGCAAAAGTTTAGAATTCAAAATACTCTTGAGAGTGAAATGCCTTATTTTAAATTCAAAAAAGGCTGTTTTAATAATTGTGAAATTCTTTTGAGGTGTGTTTTGCTTTGCAAATAGTTTGAAACATTTTGCATTTCCCTAGTTGAAATCTACAAAAACATTGTCTGTGATTAAAAACACCAGAAATAATAAAGAAAAATTGAAGTATATTAGAGGAAATGTCATGTGAATAATGAGTCTTAAAACAATCACTGTTGAGTCATGAGCTATTTTTTTTAATATAAAAATATGAAATTGTCATCTTTTTCAAAGTACTCTTTAACCAGTATGTGAAAAAAATATTTACTTTGAGAATTTTATCTTATAGTTATATATTTAATAAGATGGGTTAATATTACTTGTCTTAAATATACTGTTAGAGGTAATAGTCTGAACTGACCTTTTAATTTATATTCTTGCAGTTCTTAATTGCTGCAAAATTATGTGTCAAAATAAATATTTTAAAAACAATGTAGCTGGAGATCTTTCATTAAAAATTCTTCCTTTTGCAAAATATCTAATATTTCTATATCTAATATCTCTATTTTTGCAGCTTTTCTTCAGTGTCTTTATTGAACAGTGGTTTTCCCTTCCATGTTTTCGGCAAGAACAGCAACTTTCCATATATAAATTGTTTTCAGGAGGATCTCTAGTTTCTTATTTATTTTTAGGTTGGGCTTTTTTTTAATTTTGACTTTTTTATCTTATGTTCTTTTTAAAAAAAACTTTCTCCTTCAAATTGGTTGATGGCAATAAATTGTCTTAGTACTTTAAAATAGGTCCTGTAAATTCTAAAACTCTATGTCGATTGCATCAAGTAGCATGATATCCTTAACTGTTTCCTAGTTTTGCAATTGAAGAAATACTTATAAAATTTATATTAAGGTTCAGAATTTATTTACAGTCATACCTTGGCACTTGATTGCTTCAAAACTCCTCAGATTCAGTATTCAACACGTTTTGAAGCAGAAATCTTGTCCCAGCACTCGCCTTTCTCCTGGTAGTCAACGTGCAAGGAAAAATTGCCGATGTCAACTGCCTCATGACACGCTATTTCTTCTGACTGAAATAGCAGGTCATGTGGTAAGTTATGTGGGGGTTTTTTGGTACTCGTTAGTTTTAGTATTCATCGTGTCTTTCAGAATGAATTACAGAGTACCGAGGTACCATTATATATTATTTTTAAAAAATATTTGTATGGCCACCTCTCTTAGAGCATAACTCTGGGTGGCCCACATCAATCAGAAAACTACAAACTATAAGAACAAGAACTAAAACGAAAAAGATCTGGTTATCCATCATGCCATGCCTACCTCGGCTCCACAAAGGCAAAAAAATCATTAAATGTCATGTGACACAATCGAGTTTGACACCCTTGTCTTAAATTGTCACAAAATTGCTTTTACATTATCCTTGTTAACTGTTATTCAAGGCAGTTGCTAAACAAGGATGACATGTAACTTATATTACTGCATGCATCCACCTAGGATGTCCCAACAACCATCCATAGGCTTTAATGGCTCTATCCCAGTGTATAGGTAAAGAGCCAGTTCTTCTGGAAGACTAAAAGGGTGGGAGCCAGCCAGATCACCTAGAAGAAGATGTTCACAAAGCAGGGACAGCTACAGAAAAGGCATACTTCCCTAGGCTTCACCTGCACCTTCTCTCAGGATGTGATGTCTGTCTATTCTGTCCAATGTTGTGGGATGGGCAGATACAGTACTTTCAGGAAAAAGTAGTTCCACAAATAACCTTGTGCCATGTTAAACATAGCAGCTGGTACTTTAAATTACACTTGGAAGGAAACCATGAGCCAGTGCAGCTTGTACAGCAATGATATAGCATGTAATTTTTTTGCATCTAGAAAAACAACTTATACCAAAATGTTAGGTTGAGCCTAGTATTAATCATTTGATGGTAACATAAATAATATTGTCTGTCTTTCGGCAGATTAAAAGAACTTGGAAATGCAGTTGAAAAAAAAGGACTTGGTGTGTCTCATATATATTCTGTGAGCCAGTCACTTAGACTGTGTCAACTGCAAGGAAATCAGTTTGATATAATTGTGAGAGATTTAAAACTCCATAATAACGAGCCTACCTCAAGCCTAAAGGAGCAAATTTGTGAGGCAATTGAGAATGTCAAGGTAATACTCATATTCAGAATGATTTAAGTGAGTACAGGTAGTCCTCAACGTACGATCACAATTGAATCCAAAATTTCTGTTGCTAAGTGAGACATTAAGTGAGTTTTGTCCCATTTTGTGACCTTTCTTGTCACAGTTGTTAAGTGAATCACTGCAGTTATTAAATTAGTAACATGGTTATTAAGTGAATCTGGCTTCCTCATTGGCTTTTCTTGTCAGAAGTTTGCAAAAGAGGGTCACATGACCCTGAAACACTGCAACCATTATAAATATGAGTCAGTTGCCCAGTATCTGAATTTTGATCACATGACCATGGGGATGCTGCAGTGGTCATAAATGTGAAAAATGGTCATAATTCACTATTTTAATGCTGCTGTAGCTTCAAACGGTCACTAAATGAACTGTTGTAAGTTGAGGACTACCTATATACTGAATAAAATTCACAAGATAGCCCAAATAATATTTTCTTTTTGTCTTAATTTTGTAGAAAAACGGGTTTATAAATTATTATGGATCTCAGCGGTTTGGACAAGGACAGAATATTCAGATCAATCAGACTGGCTTGGCTTTGCTGAATGAAGAAATGGTACTTGTTATACATTATTTTTAAGTTCGGAATTTGTCTTTCTGTTTTATTATTATAGCAGATGGGGAGGTTAGTTGAAAGGCAGCAACTGTCCTAAGACCTAGTGAGTTTCATAGCTAGGCAGGTTCTTGAATCCAGGTCTTCTACTCATATTATTATACTCTGACTCATTTTCATCTATATGTTCTAAATCTATCTCAGAAAAATTCTACTCCCAGCTACAATATAAGACAGATTTGGGAAACATTTCATTTTTTTTTAAAGATGGTATTGATGTAAAAATGAATAAAGCAACACAATGTTTGCATTTCTTTCTTTCTTGTTTATTTGAAAGGTCAAATCTGTAAAACTGTTTTTCACACCAGAAGATTCAAATGATCCTGTTAATAAGGCAAAGAAATACTTTCTTCAGACTGGTAAATACTTCACACTGATTTCTTTTCATGAAATACAGTATGGGAAGAAAAGTTTATACTTTATTTTCTGTAGTTCAGCATTTCCTAATCTTTCCAGCTCGGCAGACTGCCAGAGGTGCTGCTTTGATAAATGCATCTCACCCACTTCTGAGGCTGGGTTCCGAATGGGCTCTGGCTCATGACTGCAGCCTGGGGTTTGGGGACCTCGGTATAGTTAGTCCCTTGAAATGCTTTCTGTGCAGAAAGATGTGATACAGTTATTGTAAGTCCTGCCTCAGCTATCTTCTCAGGAAAGCGAGATTTCAAAAGGATCTTTTACTGAGAGAAAAAAATTGCAGAGAGGTCAGGTGGAATCTGAGGTTTTTGTGCAAAATGTTAAGCTAATTTCCCATTGTCCAAACCCCACCCCAAATCCCCAGTCCATCAGGAGCCAATCTGCTGGTGTGAAGTTGTTGTGAGAACTCCAAGCCGAAAAGGTGATAATGAGTCGTTCCGTGGCAACGCGATCTTGGTAGCAGGCAGGCGTTAGCCAGAAAGGAGTCAAACCAGATGGCCCTGAGGGTTCATTTCCTCCTCCCCGATTCCCATGCAGATACATCAAAGCGAAAGTAGAAACAATATAGAAATATCCTCAATCATCAAGTAACTCTCCCCCTCCCCTCAAAACGGCAGCCCTCCTAAAAGAATAATAGAGGGAACAAGAAAAGAAAACTTACACATTCATTTAGATTTATCAGAATAGTGGTCATGAAAGAGCTTAAATAGTCTAGGGCAATAATGGAGAAGCTTTTAGAGACCGAGTGCCCAAACTGGAACCCAAAACCCACATGTATCGTTGGGTGCCAGGTGGGTGTGGCCCATTGGGTGTGCGTGGCCCATTGGGTGGCTGTGGCTGTGGTGGTAACGGCAGATTGGATGGGACTAAAAAGTTCAATCAATCAATTCCAATTTTGCGAGATCTTTTTTTCCTGCAAGTTGAAATTGATTGATTGAACCTTTTTTTGCACATGGCGGCGGAGGCCTAAAGTGAAAAGATTTATAAAACCCAGCTGAAGGCCTAGGACTTGGGTGACGGTGCGCATGCCCACAGAGAGGGCTCTGTGTGCCACCTGTGGCACGTGTACCATAAGTTTGCCATCACGGGTCTAGGGGATTTAATATGTTTCTTTTGTACACATTCATTCTGGAGGTTTTTCCATATACTACCTATTGGATGCCCCCCCCTGTGCATGTATAAGTCAAGAATCTCTTTGATTTCAAAGTGCTGCTCCCCTTTCACCATAAAAGGTTCAGGTATCGGAAGAGGAATTGGCCTTAAAGGTGAAATCACCTCCGATTTTAGAAGACTGCAACGGAAAAAGGGGTGGACTTTTCTTAGTGACTTAGGTAGCTCTAATTCTACTGTGACTGAGTTAATAATTCGTTTCATGAGAAAAGGCCCTACAAATTTCAGTCCTAACTTCTTTGAGGACTGTAAGGATTGTAGGAGACATGGTCCCCAATGTGAAATGGTTTATGGTCTATCCTTTTTTTGTTTTTTGGGTTTTGTAGCTGTCCTGGCCTCAGCAAGGTGCCAACTGGCCAGGTATTCTTTAACTGATTTATCCATTCCTTTAAGGAGGGGATTGTGGAGTCATTGGTTGGCTATTCAGGCATCAGGTTGAAATCCTGTCCTGTTGCCATTCAGAAAGGCTGGTGTGTACAGCATTGTTGTATGCCACTTCAGCAAAAAGGCAAGAAGTCAGTCCAGTCATCCTGTTGGTGGTTGATGAAGCAATGAAGGTACTGCTCTAGAACTGAATCCATTCTTTCCATCCCCCCGTTCTATTGTAGATGGGTGACTGGAACAGAGCCCTAAGAGATCCAAAAAAGCTCTCTAAAACTTAGACATGAATTGGAACCCTCTGTCTGAGACAGAATGGGATGTTTAGACACTGACCTTTGGACACGCCTCCTTCTCGAACCTCCAGTCTCTGTCCATTTGCAGCCAGCTTTCCTCCCCCAGCCATTCTCCATGGTCAATGGATCCCTTGCCCACTGCCCTGCGCCCTTCGGCCCAGCCCATTCGCCTTTATCCCAGGCATGAGACAAATAGCCGCCAGCCAATCAGATGGCAGGCAGAAGCCATAGTGCTGCAAGAATAGTGTACAATCGCGAATAGGCGATTGTAGGGGCTTTGAGTTGGGTGCGGCTTCTGGCGGTAAAGTGGGGTATGGGGGGCGTGTCAGGGTGTTAGTTGATTATTCCCAAAGATTCCCTAACTTTAAAACAGCTCTTGGGTGCAACAGTTACCCTGCACAAGTTGCTCAGGAGAAAGAGGTGCTGGCAATGCTAACTCCCAAGAATGAGGGGCTCAGAGGCAGCTACAAATATGGAAGGGAGGAAGGGCACAGAAAGGAAATCAGCCTGATTGAGAGGGAGCATAGTAACATTGCCCCTACTCTGTAGACGGTAGATCCCTATCTTCCCCAGCCTGGCAGGGGTCTTCTTGCCCCACCGTTGCCCCAGTGAGGAGGAGGAGCAGGAAGAGGTTTTAAGCAAGTTCAGCAACCAGAGTGGGGATCCCCCCCCAAAACAAATGTGCTTTGTGGGTAACCTCCCAGCACGACAGAAGTGACCAAAACCTGCTGCAACTACCCAGCAGACAGGTGGAGGGGAAATAAAAACCAAATAGCCGCCCACTGCCAATCCTTAACAGAAATGCTCATGATCCTCCACACTTAAAGAAATCGGGTGAGTTATTTTAAAAGCGGACAGAGCTGGATAAAGGATTTTATTTATTTTTTTTATTTTATTTGGACCTTAAGCTTAAAGATTGATTTTTACTTCCCTTTTTTTCTTTTTTCTTTTCTCGAGAGGGAAAGTAAAATGGCGATTGGAAAGTTTTTGGTTTTTTTTTGAAGGGAGTGGAACGGAACGGAATGGATTAGATCGTTTTTAAAGGTTTTTTCAAGATGGATTTATGTTTTAGGAAGATTATTTTCCCTCTCTGTCAAACTCTTTTTTGTTATTTCTTTAAGGGATTTTTTTTTTGTATTTTTTCTATTTTTTTTAAGAAGGAGGAAAGAAGAAACAAAACTTTTCTTTTTGAAAATGGCTTCAAAGTGGCAAGTAACATCTACAGTACCCAAGGTGGCTTCCTCTCCTGCGATTCTACCAGCACAACAACCTAAAGCTACACCACCACCTTCCCCCCCTCTGCCATCAGTAACGGTAAAAGATATGCAAGATATAATGGGAAATGCTATATCTCAAATTAGAGGGGAAGTGAAAGAGCTTTTAGTGGAGAATAACATTATTTTGAGGCAAGATATAGTTGTGGCTCTAAAAGGACTTGCTTCTGTGGCTGAGAAGCTGGATTCTCGAGTGGAAGAAGTGGCAGATAAGGTGGAGGTTTTGGAGGATAAATTTGAAGGCATGGAAAAAAAGATGGAAATTTCACAAGATGATATTGTTATGTCTCAATATAGAGAAATGGAGTTTGCTTTAAGAATCAGGGGGCTGAGAGAAGACATCCAACAAGATCTGAGAGAGATTGTAGCAAATGATTTTGCTGTGATTCTGGACAGAGAAAAAGAGGCAATATCTAGGGAAATTGAAAAAATATTTAGAGTCAACTCCTGGGTTGCGAAGCAAAGAAATCTGCCAAGAGATGTGGTAATTTATTTTGGGAAAAGATCTCTGCGTAATGAAATTATACAAGCTTTTTATAATAAGAGGTTTCAGATTGCTGCACAAGATGTTATAATCCTAAAGGAGATTCCATCTAAAATTTTAAGAAGAAGAAAAGAGTTTGCCTTCTTAGCTGATGAACTTAAAAAAAGGTTGATGCCATTCAGATGGGAGATTCCGATTGGCATAGTGGTGAGTCATGTGGGGACGCGTTATAGATTTAATACTGTTTCTAAAGCAAAGGAGTTTTATATGTCGGTCCTGGGAGCACGCTCATCACCACCTATGATGATGAAAGTTTTGGATGGCAAGGAGGCAGAACAGCAGTCTGAAGAAGTAGTATTGATGGAAGCTGGAAAACTACAGGCTGAGTGGTTGCAACAAGCAGGGATGAAAGAGCAAAGAATGACCCGGGCAGCCCACAAACGTAAGGAAAAGGAACAACAGAAGAAAGATGTTAAAGAAGTTTTACAAGAATCTGTTTCTGAGCCTGTGGGAGGAGCAAGACCCAAGAGTTCTGCGGTACATTCTTCAATGGCAGATCTTCAAGCAGTCTTCTCTAGGCTTTTGGTCAAGGGAGATGGTAAAGCTCCTGACATGGAATGCTAATGGCCTCAATTCCCCTCAAAAGAGAAAGAAAATATTTCACTATTTAAAGCAATATAATAATGATATTATTTGTTTGCAGGAAACACATATTATTTCTAAGGATCAAAAACATTTAGTTAATACCCGATTGGGATGTCATTTTGCATCTTTTGCTCTTGGGAAAAAAGGGGGTGTAGTTATTTATATTAAGCAAAATTTATCAGCTTGTTTAGTAGATTCTGATCCTCAAGGGAGATATGTTATGATTGAAGTGGGACTGTATGGCAAGAAAGTACTTATAGCAGGTTTGTATGCACCAAACCAACAACAGGAACAATTTTATAGACTGTTACATCAAAAATTAATTTTGCTGGACTATAGATCTGTTATATTAATGGGAGACTGGAATGGTGTTTTAGATACACAAAGAGATAAAAAAGGATCTTCTACTTCTTTCAAACAGGCTAAATTACCTAAGGCCTTTTTTGATTTGAAAGAGGACTGGGAGTTGCGAGACTATTGGTGTGAACACAATTTGGAGGAGAGAGACTTCACCTTCTTTTCAGACAGACATCAATCTTTTTCAAGAATTGATTTTTTTTTTATTACAACGGACTTATATTTTAGGGTAAAGAATGCTAAGATTTTTCCTAGAACACTGACGGATCATAGTCCAGTCTGGGTGGAATTGGTTAATGAAAAAGAGGAGAGGAGATCCTGGAGGATGAATGAAAATTTATTTAGACAAGAAAAGAATGTTCAGAAATTAAAGGAGCAATTAAAGGAATATTTTGCTTTAAATATGTATAAGGGAACTTCAATGCCAATGGTTTGGGATGCAGGTAAAGCTTACATGCGGGGGGTCTTGATACAAATGAATAAGGTTTATAGACAGAAACAGGTGCAGAAACGTAAGGAGTTGGAAGATGAGATTAAATTAAAAGACAAAGCTTTAATTTTGAATCCTACAGATGAGAAGATTAAAGAATCTATAAAATTGTTTAAATCACAATTTAACATGTTGATGGCTGATCAAACTGCAACCAACTTATTGTACATGAAACATAATACATTTTGCAATGCTAATAAACCAGGGAGATGGTTGGCTTATCAATTGCGAAAGAAGCAGAGATTGAGAACTATAGATAAAATAAATTATAATGGTAAATTTGTATATCAGAAGGAGCTGATTAAGAAATCTTTTTTAGATTACTATAAAAATTATATATGGGAACGAAAGTACAGGCTTCAGATATAGATAAATATATACAAGATGCTCACTTCCCTAAATTAACAGAAGATCAGAAACAAGAAATTAATGGTTTGATTACCATCGAGGAAATTGAGATAGTAATTAAAGAATTAAAATTAGGTAAAGCACCGGGTACTGATGGATTGACATCTATTTATTATAAAACCTTGGTAGAAGAGTTGAAACAACCTTTAAGGGAAAGTTTTAACAATATATTACAGAGACCCCCTTGTCATGGGGCAGAGCTTTCATATCTTTGATCCCAAAAGAAGACCAAGATCTCACTTTACCAAAGAATTATAGACTCATATCTCTTTTGAATGTAGATTATAAGATTTTTTCAAAAATTCTAGCTAATAGACTTATGAGGGTGTTAAATCAATTAATACATATGGATCAAACGGGTTTTATAACTGGAAGGTATATGAAGAATAATGTTAGACAAATTATTAATTTAATAGAATATTTGGATAAAAACAACCAAGTTTCTGCAGGATTGATATTTTTAGATGCTGAAAAAGCTTTTGATCAGTTAAATTGGCAATTTATGTTAAGATTAATTGAGGAAATGAATTTTGGAGAAAAAATTTCACAAGCTCTTTGTGTTATTTATCAAAAACAAACGGCACAACTCATAGTTAATGGAGGTTTGTCAGAGGTGTTTTCAATTGAGAAGGGGACTAGACAGGGTTGTCCACTGTCACCATTGCTGTTTGTTTTAACTTTGGAAATTTTGTTGATTAAAATTCGGGAATCACAGAAAATAAAAGGAATAGAAGTCAATAAAAAAGAATATAAATTAAGGGCTTTTGCAGATGATTTGGTTGTTACTTTATCCCAACCAACTCATTCTGTTATGGAACTGTTACAATTGATATATCAGTATGGACAAGTTTCGGGTTTTAAAATTAATAATAATAAGACTAAAATATTGCTTAAAAACATGACCAATTTGGATAAGGAGACTTTAGTTAGGTTGACAGATTTTGAGGTTGTTAATAAGGTAAAATATTTGGGGGTTATTTTATCTGCCTCCAATGCAAAATTGTATAAAAATAATTATGAAAGGCTGTGGGTTAAAATACAAAAGGATTTGGAAAATTGGAAGAAGCTGCAATTATCCCTACTGGGGAGAATTGCAGCGATTAAAATGAATGTTTTGCCAAAGTTTCTCTTTTTATTTAAAATGATACCTATTTTAAAGAATGAGGCCAACTTAAATGAATGGCAGAAAGGTATCAATAAATTTATTTGGGCAGGGAAAAAACCA